TAACATAATAATAGATTAATTTCCTTACAACATCCTATAAACAGTTGCTAAAATTAAATCATCCTTTCACTAGTAATAGTGGTTTAAAATATCGTGCCTAAAATATTTTGTTATATTAAGAGTATGTAATGTCTGGCATATTTTCCTAGGGACTTGAGTAATTTTCTTTTATATACAGGTAGCAATACATTTTTTTTTAGCAGCAAAGTTTAGCTCTTCTCCTTGGATTTAGAATTTTGACATATGTGGTGTTCAGAGGTGGATCATGTTATTATATTCCATCCCCCCCCGCCCCCATGTCTAACATGTTTTCTTAAACGAAGACCCAAGGAAGGGCATAGTTTAGTATGATGTAAAGTACTCAGCGTGTCCTTAGGTAATGCCCTATGCCAGTGATGGCGAACCTATGACACGTGTGTCAGAGGTGACATGCGAACTCATTTTTTTGGTTGATTTTTCTTTGTTAAATGGCATTTAAATATATAAAATAAATATAAAAAATGTAAGTCTTTGTTTTACTATGGTTGCAAATATCAAAAAATTTCTATATGTGACACGGCACCAGAGCTAAGGTAGGGTTTTTCAAAATGCTGACACGCCGAGCTCAAAAGGTTCGCCATCACTGCTCTCTGCTCATATACTTTAAGATAATAAGTTGTGCCCTGGAGTTTGGACAGGATGGCAGAGCAGTCCTGGGTGGTGAAAGTGTGTCTCTTCTGTCTTCCTTGTCTATCCCTTTTCCTTCTGTTCAGGAAACAGTCTCCCATACTTCCTTGCTTATGAAGTCCTTCCTAGTTCTCAGCAGCACATGGTTTTAACAGGCTTTACCCAATTCACCTAACACTGATGCTCCTTCAGTGTTAGGTGAACTCTATACTTGTGTCTGAATAGAAATCTTAACAATTCACTTAAGCAGCACATAGCCACACATGGGAGTCTGGGATTCCTATTTGAGTCTAGAATTCCCTGACTCTAAAAGGTAAAAACAGAACAGAACAAAACAAAAACCCCCACAACGTTCTGAGACTGGGACCTGGTTTGTATGTCACTGAACCCAGTAATTTATCTACATTATGGAGGGCCCCCAAATTGTGGACTCCAGTTACAGAATTGATAAAACTTTTGAGAAGACACTCCAGAAATTTTGAGAAAAGTACAGCTCCGTTCTAAGATATGAAAGCTATATGTTCTCCATTTTGCATTTCCAATGTAGGCATCTAAGACTTTTGGTCTTGAATTCCCCACTGAGCACGCTTTCTTTCTTTCTTTTTTTTTTCTTTTTTCTGGCTATTCTATGTTTCTGGGGAGTGGCTTTATAAAAGTGCCCGACGGGAACAATAATGAAGAATTAATGCTGGGGTTCTCTACTTAGTCTTTATTTCCAACCTGAAATCTAGAAGTCATTGCTGTTCTACGTTGAATTATTCAATTCCATGTGTGTTTGTAAAGCAACAGCTGTATATCCAGTCCTTAGTGATGTCAGTCCCCAAAGGCATCTCAACGAGGTCTCTGGGAATTTACAGTCAAGTTGGGAGGCAACACACTTACATTAAAGAACCAAGAGATCGTCGCTATAATGTGATACCAACACATAATACAGTGACTTTAGTCCTCCAAGCGAGAAACGTGTACCAGCAGTATCCGCATCCCCTGGGAGTTTGCTAGAAATGTAATCTGCATTTTAATAAGAGCTGCGCATTGAAGTTTAAGAAACTCACTTATAAACAGTGAGCACCAGGGGGTACAGGCTCTGACCGTGGTCGGCGGCGACTGGAGTTGGGGGAGAGGTTTTGCGGCGGACGACAGAGCTGCTCAGGAGGAGGGTAGCATCTGGGTCACGGGGACCAGTCGGTCTTCAATTGTCACCTGCAGGAAAGCCACTCGCCAGGGGTACTTGCTTAGAATTCGGATTCCTGAACCTCTCTCCTCACTCCTCATGGAGTGAGAATCCATAGGGTGGGCCCTAGAAAAATGTATTTTTTAACAAGCTCCACGGGGAACTTTCTAGACTGAATTTGAGATGCCAAGATGAAAGGGAATGTGTTCAAGGTAGGAATGTTTGTATATGGAAGCCTTGCCTGTTTTGTTGGCGATGTCTTTTCCTGCTGCCCTGGCCCACATCATTTCTCATCAGCACCATTCATTCATTTATTAATTAATTTATTTTATTTAATTTTATTCTTTCTTTCTTTCTTTCTTTCTTTCTTTCTTTCTTTCTTTCTTTCTTTCTTCCTTTCTTTCTTTCTTCCTTTCTTTTCCTTCAGCTCTTTATTTGACTGTCTATTTGAATGATAGCCTTGCTGGATATAGTAATCTTGGTCTCAGATCCTTGCTTCCCAAAAATGTCCATGTTCGACCTAATGATTTTCATAGAATTTGTTGAAATGTTCAGCATTTTATTTCATTTATTTTTTGTTAATCCTCACCCGAGGATATTTCTCCATTGATTTTTAGAGAGAGTGGAAGGGAGGGGGAGACACACACAGAGAGAAACATTAATGTGAGTGAGACACATCGACTGATTGTCTCCTACACGTGCCCCGACCTTGGCCAGAGATCGAGCCTGCAACTGAGGTACACATGCCCTTGACCAGAATCAAACCTGGGACCTTCAGTCCGTGAGCCGACACTCTGTCCACTGAGCCAAACCAGCCAGGGCTTGAGGACCCTTTAAGTGCTGCTCCTGCGTTGGCCCTCCATCTCATCTCCTGCTGTGTGTGTTTCTCGGCATCAGGAAGGGTTCAGGAATCTGGAGAAGGCGCTGTGTGTAAATTAATCAAGAGTCCAGAGACGAAACATAATTTTGAAAGGCATTTTGGGGAGTCAGAGAAGCCTTAGCTAAAGGAACTAAGTCCTTCCTTATCTCAGGACCCCTTACTTTTTATTAACACAAATTGTCCTAAGGCAAGGTAGATATACATCAAAGGCCAGGGTTTAGTATACAGAATCCATTGTTAGATTGGAGGAATTGCCTTTGGCTGTTCAGGTGTTTGGCCAGCAGGAGGCAATAACATGTAGATTGAAATGCCCTTAGCTGTCTGGCAGCAAGCGATCATTTTATGCATCCTTTTCAGGTTTGGGGAAATGCCTCCAGCCATTTCCAGATGATTCAGCCCTGGAATTGCTGGAATTGGCTTCTGGCAATCTCCTAACGCTTCACCCCTATGAATCTAAAGTCAAGGCAAAATGAACTTCTCACCTTTCTGGAACACACTGGGCACTTTCATACATACCTGACGATATTTCCAACGTCATCAGAGAAATCCCTCTGTAGCCACACCTACTTCTTTATTGCCTTCCTCGCCTGTTTCCCCCTTTGACCAGATTTAACTTTACTGTCAGAAATTTGATTACAGTCTCCCACCCATAGACTCTAATATCCATGGTAACAGATCTCTTTCAGTTGGCTGTTTATCCTCGATGCATGCCCAAACATTGACATTTTCTCACAACAAATCAAAGATATGTTGAAATCTGCTCACCTAAAGTCAAGGATACATTTATGATTATGTTCTTTTTTTATTATACGTGTTTTATTATATGTGGTTTTTTTTTACTTAGTTCTTTTTATTATAATTCAAACACGTTGTGGACATAGCCATTTTCTTACCATGTTCAACACTCCACAGTACGGACAAGGTCTCCAGGATGAGGCTCCCACTCGGCGGGAGGCCGTACGTGATGGTGGCCACAGCACGGCTCTGCCTCCGAGGGGCTGTGTGATCTCCTGCAGCCTCAGTGATGTTTCTGATTTGTAAAATGCAGACAATATCTACCTTGTGGGGTTTTTGTGGCAATTACACGAGAAATGCTTTTAGCAGAGGGCCTGTTAGGACCGAGGAGTTCTATCCAAGGCAGCCAATCGCGTCTTTTAGGACATAAATCTTTCAGCGGAGGAAATGAGTGCACCAGATGCTTCACTGTTAGCGGAAGGGGAAGAAAGTTCTCAGTATCTGATGATAAAGAAGATGACGGTGGTGATGACTCCAGCTACCACTTCCGGGAGCGTTCGTTCTGTGCCACTGTTCACTCCTAACAGCAGCCCTGTCAGGGCCCATTATTATTCCCGAAGGCTCAGCAGCGTGCTCAGAGTGGCAGAGTCCAGACTCAAAAGTACTTGACTGTGAAGTCTGTGCTTTGGATGTTTGATAACCCCCAACACCTGTCCATGCCAGGCCAGCCACCACTCTTGGTGCCTGTCCATCTGGAAGGTCTGTGTTACGCCCACAGTGACTACCACTCTTGGTGCCTGTCCACACAACCCATCTGGAAGGTCTGTGTTACGCCCACAGTGACGCAGCTTCCACGCCTCCGTCCATTAGCCCAACCCATTTTTCATGTCTTATCTTTCTGCTCCTTAGCTTCAGTTTGCTTTACGATGTAGTTGCTTTATAAGCACGCTGAGATAAATAGTTGAAACATATATAGATATCTCCTGATCCAATTCTGTTGCCTACTTCCTTCATTCTCTGATAACTATACAAGTGGAGGGAGAGGAGGATTTGGAGATGATTTCAAAGGTTTAATCCTGGGCATCTAGATGAGGTGCAATGTGGAAAGTTGAGAACTAAAGGATGGATGATTTTTTTTTGGCAAGTTAAGTCTAAGGTCAGAAGGCATTTAAGAAAAAACTGATTAATACACACACACACATACACACACACACGGTAGATACTTAAAAAAAGGTTTCATTTTGAAGAACTCAAAAAATTTGTAAATTCAAATTTCTGTACATGGAAGTGTAGTACCACCGTATACTGAAGCAATGTACTATATTTGCCTTTTGGAAATACTGATATTAACCACTGGGCATATTTATAAATATATGTTTTGAGAAGAAAGTCAGTGTCAAGGGGGTGGGGCCTAAAACATTGTAAATACCATGCCGTTTTAATTGGACATTTTGTAACGAAAACATGTCATTTTTTTTCAAAATGTTTTTTGTTGCTTGTTTATGAAGTTTACATATCTGATATTTATAAAGTGCTTTCTCACTATAGGTTCATGGACCCTTGTCAGCCCAGCATGGAGAAAAGGTAGAGGACACATGGGCAAATCCCCATCGCTCAGCTAACCTGGGGACGTTCCATGACCCTGCAAAATCGGAGCTTCCTATACAGCAGCTCTTTGAAGCTGAGATCAAGTCCTTAGTTCCCTTGGCCCAAGCATGTCAAACTCACGGCCCGTGGGCCGCATGTGTCCCACAACGAATACTTTTTTTTCAGCCCAGCCAATATAACGGTATGTAAGAAACGTTTTAATAAAAAGTTCTTAACTTAATTTTTACAATATCCTGTTACACATAATTATTAATAACGAACTACACGTTCGCTAATGACTGATGACTATAATCGTGTTGCATTCATTTCCCTTACCTTACGTGCAGGCGCACCATTTTTCTCCACTAATACTAGCAGCGAATATTTTAGCAGCCAATGGCCACGTCATTAGTCTTGAACTGACTTGTTTGGTGTGCGCAACAGGAAATATTTTGCTTTCAGAGAACAAGAAAAAATAGGTTTATTTGCGTTACGCTTATTAACTTGTGCAGTTATTCAGTGTCTGGTAAGTTAATGTTCAAGAAAAAAATATTAACTTTTATTAAAATGTTCTATTTCATGTTAACAATGACTCATTTATTTCAGCCCTTTGTATTAGTGTCTCTAGTGAAATAAATCTACGTTTCTATGAAAATTGAAGCTTTTTTTTGTGTGTGGCCCACATACGCTTAAACCTTGTTTATTTGGCCCGTGTGAGCCTTTGAGTTTGACATGCTTGCTTTGGCCTCTGTATGCTCCTCGCTGCTCCCCTGCCAAGACCTCTCCTTGCCCATTGATGGTTGAAATGCTGGACAGCAAGCAAAGGAACATGAGTTTTGACTTAATCTGAGGGGAAGGCCTTTGGCCCCAGGAAAGTTAACCGGTCTGAGTTTATCTTACTCACTTAGCTTGGTCAGAATCTGCAAATGTCACACAGCAGCAGCGAGGGGCCCATTCCCTAGGTAGCATATCTGTAAGCATACACCCCAAAAGTGTTGGTTGTGCACGTCTAGTTCTCTAAAAGAAAAACGGAAAAGAAAGCCTCCCACGCCACACAGTAGTACGAGGCAAAATATCCGAACAGAGTCTAAAGCTGCTTTGTGCATGTCATTTTCGAAGAGAGAAAAAAAAATTAGAAGCCAGCAGCAATGAAGTGCTTAGCGCAAGATTTCAGTTTTCAACCTCGCAGCTCTTGCATTTCAATCGGGGCAGCAGGAAGATTCCACTGATCCTAAAGCTAACGGATGGCGAGAGGGAAACGCTTGCTGGCTTCGTTAGGCAGGTGGTTATTGTTTTAAAAAACGGAGAGCCGCCAACCTGGCTGGAATCCAAGGCGCGTCACCTAATCCTGATCCAGAGCTATGCAGCCAGAGTCCCCAGCCCGCAAATATTTGATTAGCGCATATGTAAATTGTCCTGTGTTCTTGGCACAGGCCGAGTCAGGAATGACAATGTAGATTGTAATGTTCTTATACAGTCAGAGGCTCTTGTCCCTGTATTTTTCCCTGTAAGGAAGTACAACGTGTGTATTCAGGAGGTCTGAAGCTCGTGGTGTGGCAGATAACCTGCTGATATTCAATAAGGAAATAAACAATGAATGTAACCGCTCATGCCATTGTCTAAATGTAACAGATCTCTTCAATAATGAAATAGCATAGCGGACACTGAACTACGCAGTCACTCAAATGACTCTCAGCAATTTTCTTTATTGACCCCAGTTTCTGAGGCCTAGAGTCACTGACCCTGGGCCCCAAATTAGAAAATTAGATTTCGGAGCCTCCACTATGTATCAGAATCATTCAGGAACAGCGTAGAAGCCAAACTATGAGACACGTTTTCTTATTATATAATCAGTGGACAAGACATTTCAGCACTTTATCTGCTGTGTGTACAGAGTGGCATCTGGAGAAGTAAAAATTGCTGTAATAAATGCTGAAAATCAAGGGTTTGCCATGCTCCCATTAATGTCCCTGGTATGAAGTCATGGATCTGGCTAACCCCACTCCAAATATAGTTTAAATAATGCGAGGTAATTCTTACTATTCATATTGATAAAGACATACAAGAGATTGGAATTTGCCAAGAAATATTGTTGCTGTGATTTAACACACAGAAGAAGAATGGCATTTTATGTATTTTATATAACTTACAATCTACAGAGAATTACTGTTTATCTAGAGAGCAAATCCTGGGAGTATGGATTTCATGTATATGTCCTGTAGGATTTGAATAAAACCCACAAATATATTTATCTCCCAAGCTTGCCAGTTAAAAAACAAAAAAGGATGCAGGTAAAATTTTTCTGAATTATCTCCAGAGGTAATTAAATTATTGAGTTAAAAGGGTTTCTTACTTATAAGAATGAAAATGGGGAAGGGATAGAAGCAGAGGGCAGACAAGGGCCAGTCTTGCCTGGAGCTAGAAATGTATGCAATGCCTCAGAACAGACAATAGGAAACTAATGAGGTAAAAAGCCTGGCATGATTGGGATCTGATTTTCACAGATTAAACCAATGTCAGTGAGGAGAAGAGTGAATGAGCCTAAAATGGCTTTGAGACACCTGCAAATAATTGTATTTTCAGTGCAATAGTGTTTAGGCATTGTTTTATCTGGCAGTTTATGACAGAAGGAATGGAACAGGGATTTAGAAAGAGGGGGCACTGTACTCTTCCTTCACAACCCCCCACTCTAAATTGCACCCCCCTTAAGTCCCTTTGGCAGCGATGTCCCAGGAAGGAGTCGCCTGCTGACTCCTCTGCCTGTTTTATAAGCGATAGAATTCGATTGATAAGAATTGAAGCTGGAGGCTGAACGCCAATTTTTAAAACGGAAGAACACTTTACAGCCACTTGTACAGTATATGGGTTGCAATTTTGGGCAGAAACCTAGGGGCTATTTTTGATTCATTTATTTTATATTCTCTTCTTTGGGACCATGATCTGATATTTCTGGGTATATATTGTACTCAGAATTCAATTTAAGTGACCTCTTGTAGCCAAAATGAAATTTTTTACTGACAGCTCCATATAATGGGACATTGTCCCATACCTATTGGGCAACACCTATAAAACAAAGTTATGCACCATTTTCTAGGGCAGTGGTTCTCAACCTGTGGGTCGCGACCCCTTTGGGGGTCGAACAACCCTTTCACAGGGGTCGCCTAAATACATCCTGCATATCAGATATTTACATTACGATTCATAACAATAGCAAAATTACAGTTATGAAGTAGCCACAAAAATAATTTTGTGGTTGGGGGTCACCACAACATGAGGAACTGTATTAAAGGGTCGCGACATTAGGAAGGCTGAGAACCACTGCTCTAGGGGCTAGGTGAGGATGGAGGAGACCTTTAAACTATGCTTCACACTTGAAATCTTTTGCTACCACTTAGAAAACAATAAAAATGAAATGGTGATCATTGTAAGACAAATACAAAAATATCTGGACTCTCTGATAATTAATCATGAATGTGGTCAATGTGAAAATTTCATTTCCACGTTTAACCACATTCAGTTAAGTGTCTGATCAGCTTAGTCGGACTTTATCGTGTCAGGAAAGTTCGATTCCGCTGGAAACGCAATTTGACTTTAAAGAAAGAAGCACAATGGAAGCAAGAGAACAAGCCAATTTTTTATTTTTTCATGATTTGTCTTCTTTTAAGGTCAGGCTCATTGAGCTATAATTTGCATAAAGTAAAATCCCCCCCTTTGAGTGTGAGCTTTGGACAAACACATGGAGTCATGTAACTGCCAGTCAAGATAGGGCCCAGTTCCCTCACCTGCAAAAGTTTCCTCCGGCCCTCTGCCCTCCTTTCTCTTTCACCACAGCCCTGGCTATTGCTTTTCTGTTTTCTGTCCTATGGTCCTATAGTTTTGCATTTTCTAGCGTGTCTTATCAATGAAATGACCCAAGCCTTGTGAGTTTAGCTTCTTTTATTTAGTATGAATATATTTGAGATTTATCTATGTTGTGTTGTGTATCAGTAATTTAATTCTTTTTATTGCTAAACTAGAGGCCCAATGCATGAAATTCGTGCAAGGGGCTTGGCCCCGCTGTGGTGGCGGCGGCTCCCTTGGCTCTTACCGCTGTGGCTTCGTCTGGAAGGTTGTCTGGAAGGACGTTCGGTCTAATTAGCATATTACACTTTTATTATTATAGATAGTATTCCATATGGTTGCACTTATAAAATGGGAAACAAACGTTGGTGGCTATTCCTTCCATTTTGCTTATGGTGGAGTCAAGGGCAGACAGAGCTTCTATCTAGTGGCATTGGGACCCTCTCTGCAAATTATCCAATGAAAAGCCCTTGGACTGCACCTTTCAGCCCAGGAAAACCCAAACCAAAGAAACCAAAGGAGCACGATGTTTTATAAACATGGGCCGTGTTCTCAGACCACTGGGGGACAATTCTGATGAGAGAAGAGTGGCTGGGACTGATTCCAAACTAAATTCCCACTGGTACCAGGGGTTGTGTTTTTGTTCATTTGTTTTTTAGTGTTGTGTTTTTCAAAAATAAATCTGTGCAGGTAAAAAAGTCAACATTTATGGTTTTCTGAAAGAAAAAGAAAGAAAAGAAAGAACCTTAGAGAAATCATTGGGAGAAAGTCTTAAAAGATGATTACACAGGTCATTAATTAAGATGTTACTTTTCAAAATAGCAGTGCATATATTTTTCTAGCACTTCCTAATATGTAAAGCACTTACGACACATACTATCTCATTTGATTCCCTTAGTGACCCATGGAGCCTGAAAGGAGATGTTAGCCATAATTTACAGATGAAGAAGCTGAGTCCAAGGACACAATGGCTGCTCAAGGTCAATAGTGGGTAGTTGTCGACACTGGCTTGGAAGCCTGAGATTTTTGAATTCCCAACTAGTGGAAACAGCAGCACCAAACTCTGAGGAATGAATTTCAGTAGGAGTCAATATTGTCAGAGGTCAGTATTTAGGAAGGTTGTAGCTAAACTCATATGAAAATTCAGCTGTAAATACCTTGTTCATTCATGAAAGATTGGAATTTTCTTTAAAAAGTACAATCTCACCGCGTTATTAGGTTAAGCACTTCTAAAAAACAACAACAACAAGGAAACTACAATGTATTATAAATTAGACCATTTTGGAATTTGTGCAATTTAAATGGTTGAGTTATTTTATGTTAGGAAAGCGACTGCACGATATTCATTAGCTAATTTTCATGATTTTTTTTTTTAAAACACATTGGGCCAAATTACACT